GATTTCCAGCTAATATACAGCAAGGACTAAATATTGTCACTGAAGGTTTCAGAGGCTTGATTTGGAAAGAAAACTGGTTTAAAAAGTATTTCTGCTTGTTGGAATTCTTCAATATGATTATCATCTTGTTTTAGTATTTTTACTACAGTCTTTAAAATACAATAATTTACACTCAACTTTACATTTCAGTCTGCCTTTATTGGATAACTTTAAATACCAGGTGTTATAATGAGTTTATACTAAATATTTTTTACTCTTGCTTGAGTAAAAATACGATGATGTAGTGTTATTCTTACACAAGCAACATTTTTGAGTACTTCTGATAAGGAGCTATGGTGTAAAAGCTAAAACACTGAAGTATTTGTTAAGTGCTTTGTGGGTTTCATTATTCATGTATAAAGCACAGTTAAAGAATGAAATACGCAGTGTTTTGTTTTTTCATAGCTGGAATGTCTACAAGTGCCACATGTGTAAAAGTTTGCATAGCTCTCTCATAATTATCATAACAATCAAAACGAAATATCTTACTCTTAAAATACATTTAGTAAGACCAGGTTGTTTGTTTGTACTTGACTGGTTTTATTTAACTCAAGCAATCAGGTTAAATGGAGGACTGCTGGATGTATTTTAAGGCATTACCTCAAATATTGTGGTTTCTTTCATGTGAAAATCCAAAGACACAAGACTTCAGTAAAATAATTGTGGACTTTTACAAAAATGACTGTTATTTGGAAGGGGAAGTTGGGCCCAAAGAAAGGAAGCTAAAAAAAAGTTGTTTTCTGATAATGCTGGTTGAAGGTGTAAAAATGTGACCGCAAAAGCCACTCTTCCAGAAAAAAAAAGCCCAAAGTAAAAAAGGAAAAGCCAGATTAAAGTTTGCAAATGTTCTCAGGGATAGTAAAGATTTGATTTGGAAACTCATCAGACCACATCTTTTTTTTATGATAAATTTGAGGTATTTTGTCAAAAAGTCAGATGCAGGAAAAAGGAAGAGGTTTGTATGCCTGAAAATACTTAACCAACTGCAAAGTACGAGGGAGGCAGCATTATGTTGTGTTTAAAGGGAGTAGGTGTTTTGCTGCATTAGGAGCAGCTCACTAAATATATGGTATAAGATTAAAACATATTGAAATATCGAAGCAGTGAGAGCAGAAATTGAGGTTTTCTCAGGGCACCACCCATCAAAGAAGAGCTGCTTGCTGAATATCAGCCACTAACCAGGAGCCGATGCTGATGGAGATGCTTCATCTCAAAAACAGGCATCTAGGCCAAAGCTGACATTAAAGGCAGTGGAATGTCACCTGTTAGGGAAGATATTTCCATGACAACAGCTTAGATGAGCTCACATGTGACCTTTGCAAGCAGACACATGATTACAAAAAAAAAAAAACCCTGCAACTCTTCATGTCCTGTTTTCCTGAGTCACTGGAGTCTGTGGGGTTACATTTTGCTCATGCCATATTCTTAGAAGGAGATACGAACAACACTAACAGGTTATTTCAGGAGAGATATCATATAAGGAATGCATCTGGACTCTTAGATGAAGAACATAGAGTTTGCTGAGAAATCGAGTGGCTGCATAAGTTACTGCGAGCCTAAAGAGGGAGCAGAGTATCTGACTCTAGGTAAAAGAGGTGTTAGCTGGTGTATTCTTCTTTTTCTAAGCATGATCACCCCCATTTCTTTGGCACTACCTCTGTCCTTTTATGCTTGTTCATCTTACTGTTCTACCCACCCGTTCCCTCTCTTGCACCTCTCTTCCCTCTGCCTTTTATTATGTGATCATGTTGCTTGGTAACAAGCAGAAGAATAATGAAAAGAGTAGGATGTGTTTGGACGGCTGTGTGACGTGTCCTCGCACCAGCTGCAAAGAAGACAGGGCGATTTGGCCTCCACAACAGGAACATCACACTTACTGAGTGTTAGGGCTCAGAGCTAAGATGTAACTACAGAGAAAACTTTAAAACCACCCCTATATGGCTGTTCTTTAATCAATAAATAGAAATATGAAATCACATTTACATTTTAACTGATTTACTTCATGCTCAAATCATCATTAGATTAGGTATTGAAGCTCAAGCCAGACCTGTGTATGTGTGGTATGAACTCATTGTTGTAATAAACTGTGAGTAGTTTGACCTTAACTTATGGTCTGAGTTGATGCATTGTTTCTGGGAAGAGCTGTTCGCTGTTAGGTAATAATGCAAGAAAATATCATCCATATTTTACTTTGTGGGGTTTTTCACAAAAAATAATGTGAGAAACACAAATTACATTCAAGTGAAATCTTATGATCACATAAATAGGGTTTAGTCAGCGACAATAATGCTGAATTTTCTCAGTCGACTTGCAGACAAAAAAAGAAATCCTTTGCCCTGTAAAATTATAGTCTATCCTTTTTCCTTTTATCAAATTGCAAACAAATATTTTCTCCCTGGAAATTACGCATGTATGACTCATAATAGCGTCTCTATTGAGAGAAAAAAAAAAAAGGTCAGAGCACGGTTACCTGTTTCAGCGATTGCCTCATCTGTAGGGATCAGTCGCCCTCTACTGTTTTACATTCTTCAGCTTGAAACCACACGCCGTAGCCATGCCAACCACATTTCTGAAGTCAAGCGTTAAATTTAGCATCCACCATATCACAGAAATCAAACCAGGCAGCTGGGAGGTTGTTATTCTGAAAACCCGAAGCTGTTCCGCTCACTTTATGAGGGCCTATTTTTGGTTAGCATCACAGCGAGTTCATTTGGAACCGTTTTCACGAATTGACTGCAATTAAAATAATTATGTTGCTTATAATTAAAGTTTTACCCCAATTGCAGGGTCCTCGCCACTTGGGGGCGACAGAAACAAGGCGAAAGCGCGCCTGTAGGTTAACGTGAGGCAACATAAGTCTTTTTTTCTTATTAATGTTGCTTTAAATCTATTGAAGTTTAGTTGAGATTGTGCTCACTGTCAATTTCAAAGCCAAACATTGATCCATTTGATATTCTCCTCTCTAATAAAAATCTAATTTAAGCCAATGTCTGTCTGCTGTTTGAAACGGAGCTAAGGGATTGAAAACCATTGTTAAAGGCTGGATTTACACCAGGCTGGATCAGAACCTGGTGGACCTTGAAAGCTTTCTGGGGATCGTCTTAAAGTTTACCTATAGTTATAGAGCAAGATGCTGAGAATCTTCATCAGCATATTACCTATAGTTTAGTCATATAATTATAAAGTGATATAATAAATATTGATATAATTGAATGAGAGAATGAAAGTGGTTGATAAATATATTTTTTAATATAAATTCCTCTAGATCCTGTTATCGTGTGTGTAATTTAGGAACTTGAATGTTGTGGCAATACATGGAGATTAAGACCTGTTCGAATTCATGGGCTGCGTCCTTTGAAGGCCACATTCGAAGGACCATAGTGCGGCGCCGAGGTCTGTTGGGATTCCAAGACTCCTCGTTATGCGGCCTTAAAATGCATCCTTCCTTTTGCCCGATTTGAAGGACGGGTCTGGTGTATCCTCGGTATCCTTGGTTTTCCCAGGATTCATTGCGAGACCAAGCAAGCCGGCTGCTCCGTGATTAGAGGAAAGGTTACTTGGTGCCGAACAGTGGTGAAAATTGAAAGTGCAGTATAATATGACACAAGTCTGTGAAAAGTTCCGTCTGAAATGAATGAATGAAAATACTGGTTTTAATGGTTATTGAGTCAGATATGTTGCGGTAATGTTTGGTTTATCTAAAGGTTTTGATCTCTTACTGTGTAAAAGCCTATGGCTGTAATTTAAAGAAAGATTCTAATATGTCTGCAGTATGGGGACTATAAATCTGATAGGGTTTTTATTTTTTTATTGCTGTTTTTCACAATATGCTTAAATAAGTATTTTTTGTTGTTGAATATTAGAGATTTTTCAGATTTATGTTTTATACATATGTTGTTTAGATTTACTTATATCTTTCTACCCCTTTTATAAAATAGAATAGAAAATGTCTTTATTGTCCCACAATGGGCAAATTTACAGCAGCAGAAAGATTATTGAAAATGGTCACACAAATGTGGACCTTGGAAAAATGTATGAGACTAACATAATAGGGAAGAGTTAAAATATAAACAATAAAATACTGTAAGTGTTTTAACAATTTAAAACTGTGCACCTGGAGAATAAATAACCAATATCCAGCTATGGACATTTTTACAGTAATGGATATTTGAAAATAGCAGCAACATCAGAGATGTGCAAAATGACAGCAGCATGTTATTTAACTGACTAAGGTTTATATCATTACATTTGCTTTTATTTGTTCCTGCTCCCTGTGGTTGGAACCTTTATTCCACTCTGGATTATCATGAGTGTTGTCTTTGTTCACTTTACAATAAAAAAGAAATAAATAAACAAACAGTTTTGAAAACTTCGGTATTCATTCTTTTCCTGCTTTGTGTGTCAACTATCACGGTTGCTAAGCAACATAGCCTACGGTGGTAAAACCTGACGAAGGGTAGATCTGTTTGAATTCACAGCCAAAACTCTTCCGGTCTCCTTATTTTCAAGGACTTGGAAGGACCAGTCTAGGTAGACGGCATCCTTGGAGGATGCAGCCCATGAATTCAAACAGCCTAATATTTAAGTTTGGCCCAATTTCCCATAATGTATTGCATTGTTTAGCAAAAACAAGAGAATAACATCATCAACTACCAAGCATGGTGGTGGAGAGGTGATGATTTGGGCTGCTCTTTCAGTCTACTTGCTCTTTAAAATGAGACAGGGTGTGTTATTGGGATATTTGGTGAAACATATAATAACAATTAGAAGTATTGATTGTATTTATTTGTAAAATCCTCACAATAATTACTGCTGCTGCTGTGAAGTTCAGAGGAAGCTGGGTGGAGCAAGATGCAATAATAAAACAAATGTAAAATGAATATATTTATATCAAATATTTCACTTAAATTTCTGAATAGGGGAGGAGAAATATTAAGGCAACAAAACACAGATGCGTGAAAAAGAATGTAACCCTTTTTATTTGTGTATTATTGGTGCAATGAGGGTGCTCGTACATAATTTATTTAATCTATAAAATATATGACCTTTTCCTGAAACCAAAACTAGATATAAATCATTAGTTTCATTTGATAAGAAGCAACTAACGTTTCAAATGTCAATCAAGGCGGTCAACTCTATCAGCGATCAAATATACTGCAAATTCAACAAATCACATCCTAATACATACACACATCTTCTGTCTAAAAAGCCACAATGTTGGAGCACTAGGCCCGGCGTTTAGTGAAATGTTTGCTTCTCTATCATAGCAAATACTGTTCAAAAGACAGCAGCCACACAAGGACATGAGCAAGTTTTCATGTGAGAGGGCAAGAAAACAAAACAAGCAAGGATATGGAATAAAGAGGGAGCCATCTGAGGGGTTTGCAACTGATTATGATGATGCTTTGTGATGTTTGTCGTCTTTTCTTCTTGGGCCTGCACCTTGTGTCCTCCATCATTGTCATGGCAACATACCGCTCTTCTTAGCCATCACACCAGTTCGCTGTGACCTGACGCTGTATTGAGGCTGTCTGTGAGATGCAGCAGAAACAAAAAAACAAATAAAACAAAAGTGATGCTGCATGGGTGAGCTCAGCTGGGACTTTCAGACACCAACGATTTACATGGATATACAAGGAATTCTGACTTCCAATTTAATATTAAAGACATAAACACACACATACAGAGATAAAAACAGAGAGACATGTACCAGACAATTCCACAGACTTATTTCTGTTTTGAGGTAGTCTAGGTTTTTTCACAGGGGGTTTGCGATTTTGGGGCTTCTCAATGTTATTGGGGCTTTCTCTCTCAGAGCCTGAGATCAGTGAGGGACAGGAGATAAGTGAACAGTTAGAGAAAGACAGTTTACACATACATTAACAAAACACTATCTAAAAAAGCTTTTGCTTTTTTTGTGTTTTCAATAGAGACAAGGCTTTACTAGAAAATTTCTTTGTCTGCAAAAGACCTAAAGGCTTAGGGAAACATCATCTTTGCATTGAAATGTACCTTTAGCTAAACATCCACTGTATATGCAATTAATTAAAAAGGAAACAGTCTTTAAATTATGCTTGCTTACAAGAAGTAGTTTAAAAAACAACAACGAACAAATGATAAAGTAACAACCTCGCTGTGGTAGTATTTCATGCTTTATGTCAACTCTTTTGGTGTTGAGAAAAACAAAAACAAAACAACCAAGCTTTTTAATGAATTCTACCAGAAAGCATTGTTTTACCTGCATCACAAGACATTGCTTTTCTGTTCCTCTGTGGTTTCACAGGAGCTTGAGGTCTCAGTCCTTCGTACCCTGGACAACATTTAAACAGCTTCAGTAAAGCACTCTCATCCTTCTATCCTTGTATGGAGCTTCACATGCAAACATTTAGTTTTTTTCCCTTTTTTTTTTGTAAATTGTGTCTTCTAAATCCCAGTTCTGGGTTTTATGAGTTATTGCATTTATCTACTTGCTTTTTTTTTTATTCAAAAAGTAATAAGTTATTGTTTATTTTTGACAGGCATTTCTTTCACTTTGAGGTTTAATTGTGTAACTTTTCCAAGTGTCATTCATTGCTTTGCTGCCTATTTTGATCACCATTACCTGGTTAAACACAGATCAAATAAACAAACAATTGTGTTTTTTTTAATCTGGATTGTATGTACCGTAAATCCTCTAATATTGGCCTCTATTCCATTAGCAGCCGGGTCTCTAATAATGGGCTGTCAGGCTGTCGGTGGAGGTAAATACTGGCCGGACTCTTATACAGGCTGGGGCTATAATTAGAATCAACAATGTTCCTGGGAAGTCCTCAACAACTTGTGATGGTAACATCCAAATACCATAGGGGGGCAATGTTTGCTAACGAATCCAAGCCATTAGCATGGGGAGTCCAATCCTTAGCGCAGACAGGAGGTCGGCTTGTTTTGTTTTTATGACCGAAATTGCGGAAAACAACTCGTGAAGTTCGATCAGCTAGAGGAGCGAGGTGCGCGAGAACGCTGGGACCCTTTTTCCACCTGGATCTCTGCTCTTTTTCGCCGTCATGTCCCTCCATTGTCGGACTAAACTCGCCCCCACTTCCTAATCGCCTCAGCCATATCTAAACCCACAGTTTATAGCGCAGACCACGCTTCAATATTGAGCATAAATAAAAAATGTCTGCGTGAAGCTCACTGCAGCACACTGCTGCAGGAGTATAACTAGCCACAAAATCGTTCTGATCTGAAAGACAGATATGATTACCGGTAGGTCTGGTGGTAACCAGGCAGCGTCAATATGACAGAATTTTGTTGGCCTTCTTTATTCTGAATTTCCCTTGAAATATACAGTGGGGCAAAAAGTATTTAGTCAGCCACCAATAGTGCAAGTTCTCCCACTCAAAAACATGAGAGGCTGGTAATTTTCATCATAGATATACCTCAACTATGAGAGACAAAATGAGAAAAAAATCCAGAAAATCACATTGTCTGATTTTTAAAGAATTTATTTGCAAAATATGGTGGAAAATAAGTATTTGGTCAGTTACAAACAAGCAAGATTTCTGGCTCTCACAGACCTGTAACTTCTTCTGTAAGAGGCTCCTCTGTCCTCCACTCGTTACCTTCATTAATGGCACCTGTTTGAACCCATTATCAGTATAAAAGACACCTGTCCACAACCTCAAACAGTCACACTCTAAACTCCACCATGGCCAAAACCAGAGAGCTGTCAAATGTCACCTGAAACAAAATTATAGACCTGCACCAGGCTGGGAAGTCTGAATCTGCAATAGGTAAACAGCTTGGTGTGAAAAAATCAACTGTGGGATCAATTATTAGAAAATGGAAAACATACAAGACCACTGATAATCTTCCTCGATCTGGGGCTCCACGCAAGATCTCACCCCGTGGGGTCAAAATGATCACAAGAACGGTGAGTAAAAATCCCAGAACCACAAGGGGGGACCTAGTGAATGACCTGCAGAGAGCTGGGACCAAAGTAACAAAGGCTACCATCAGTAACACACTACGCCGGCCAGGGACTCAAATCCTGCAGTGCCAGACGTGTCCCCCTGCTTAAGCCAGTACATCGCAAGGCCCGTCTCAAGTTTGCTAGAGAGCATTTGGATGATCCAGACGATGACTGGGAGAATATCATATGGTCAGATGAAACGAAAATAGGTCTTTTTGGTAAAAACTCTACTCGTCGTGTTTGGAGGAGAGAGAATGCTGAGTTGCATCCAAAGAACACCATACCTACAGTGAAGCATGGGGGTGGAAACATCATGCTTTGGGGCTTTTTTTCTGCTAAGGGACCAGGACGACTGATCCGTGTGAAGGAAAGAATGAATGAGGCCATGCATCGTCAAATTTTGAGTGAAAACCTCCTTCCATCAGCAAGGGCATTGAAGATGAAACGTGGCTGGGTATTTCAGCATGACAATGATCCCAAACACACCGCCCGGGTAACGAAGGAGTAGCTTCGTAAGAAGCATTTCAAGGTCCTGGAGTGGCCTAGCCAGTCTCCAGATCTCAACCCAATAGAAAATCTTTGGAGGGAGTTGAAAGTCCGTGTTGCCCAGCGACAGCCCCAGAACATCACTGCTCTAGAGGAGATCTGCATGGAGAAATGGGCCAAAATACCAGCAACAGTGTGTGAAAACCTTGTGAAGACTTACAGAAAACGTTTGATCTCTGTCATTGCCAACAAAGGGTATATAACAAAGTATTGAGAGGAACTTTTGTTATTGACCAAATACTTATTTTCCACCATATTTTGCAAATAAATTCTTTAAAAATCAGACAATGTGATTTTCTGGATTTTTTTTCTCATTTTGTCTCTCATAGTTGAGGTATATCTATGATGAAAATTACCGGCCTCTCTCATCTTTTTGAAAGGGAGAACTTGCACTATTGGTGGCTGACTAAATACTTTTTTGCCCCACTGTATGATACTGGTAGCCTACTTCCACTTAGCCTGCCTTAGGTAAAATTTTGCTGTGATGGCAGAACAGTTTCCATAATTTTTTTTAAAACTTTGTTTGCAAGTCAGTCTGGCCAAGATTCCATTCTGTGTCTGTTTTTTTCTGCAGTATCGCTGTGCAAAAAAATTGCAGCTGCTGGAAGATGTCTGAATAAGGTTCTGTATACCGTTATGGTAACTGTACTTTTTCAATAAATGAACCTAGTATTTTACAGGTTCAAAGAGAAACAAAATGATCCAATAGAAATAGAGGCCTGCTTCTAATTCTGGCTTCCCTCCAATAATGGCCTGGACCAAGATGTGCCTGAGTAAAATATAGACCCCGTCCTATATTAGAGGATTTATGGTAATGTACAACACAAAGAAATATTTATTTTTACAAACAAGTGTTGCGGGCATTTATATTCTACACTATAATTTTCTAACTAAAGATGCACCTGTCTGTCTGTCTAAAACCACTGACATTTCTTCTCTGCCTTAGTTAAAAAACAATACTGGCTTGCTATCAAAATCCCTGTCAATATCAAAAGAAATATGACTTGGCCAGCTTACCACTTTCAAAAGGCATTAACAATAACGTTTACAATAAATGGAAATAATCATCAGCTGGTCCAGTTTTACTCATGGGATGGATATCATTAGCAGACATTGGCCAAAACAGAGAAATATTGTGTATCCATAATTCTAATACCCTGAAGTAAAATGTAGTGGAACCAGTTGTTTTTGAAATTCATGTAGACACTAAGCAGAGTCTGTTTTAAATTCAAAAGCAGACAAAAAGTCCTTATTTACTCTACAGGAGCTGCAGGGGGTCAGTTTAGGTTAACAGGATAACTATAAGTCCAGAAAAAAGAAAAACTATAGAGGTCTCCTTTGAAATTTAACTCCAGCCATACAGCAGATTTACCAAACACACTAAAGAAGCTTTTCTGTTCAGATGGCAAAAGCTTAACTGTTTGTCTGATATGTAAAACCAATATTTGGGAATCATTTTTATCTCGCAGGGACAAGTAAACTGACCAGGTTGATTTGAAAGTTTAGTATAGCTCCATGCAGAAAAATTAAGGATAAATCTTGAGGCTGCAAAGGTATTGTGAGGGAGGTTCAACCTCCAGCAGTACAATGATCCTTATCATTAAGCGAGAGCTAAAGAACATACATTTTAGCTTTTTGTTTTTATTTTTCTTTCACATTCAGTCAAGGGCGTAGGTTTGATTTCAACTTTGGTAGGGACACTGTTGGTCTTCAGTTTCATTGGTCTGATGTCATTGGTCCTTTGCAAAAATATGCATGATCTTTTTTTATGCCTAATGTGAGCATCAGGGCACATTTTGTTTAAAGAGATCCGCAGCATTTATTCCTACATCAATACAAATCTTACAAGCACTACACGCACTAGATGCTGTTTATCAATGTTTAAGCCCTCACTGACTCTGACGAATGTGGAATAAGGACTTTTTTCCACTTTGAAAAGGTTTGCATTTAAACTTACCAGGGCCTATTTAACCAAATATAGTCTAACTATTCCTGCTATATGTGGATTTATCCTGTGTTTTCTTTTGAAGATATAGAATTGTGCAGAGGTAAACAGAGGTAAAACCCACTCTATTTTTTTTTATCAAATATGCTCTCTGTATCACGCATAAAAAAAAAAAAAAAATACATTAAAGGGACAGCAAATAAATGTATTGTATTTACATGTGCACTGGAACTATAAGAGGAACTCACACTGAGCATTTAAAATATTAACTTCACTATACAAGTCCTGCATATGGGCTGTAGTTACTCTCTGTAGCCCATTTAATGTATTTTATCTATGGCTGAAACAATCATATTAATGGAATATTTAAATAATCGTCATTTTAGTAATTGATTATTCATTAACCGGAGTATAGGGCCACAAAAATGTGCCTTTAGCGAGCAGGAATTATACAAAGATTGTAAAAATATGTAAAGATTTTGCATTAAAAATAGAAAAAAAAAGTTTTTTTCTGTCAATATTCTCCATCCAGAACTCCTCAAGAGGAAACGTTTGTTTCATCTGATTTAATTTCTTAAAAAATCTTCTTTAAGGAACCTTTGGCTATCTGATTATTAATCGATTCATCGAAAAAATAAACAGATTAATCAATTTAAAAAATAATCATTAGTTGCAGCCCTAATTTTATGGTAACATTCCAAACACATTTCTTAATACAGCACTGAAGGGCAGCTGCTTCACCCTGAGGCTGCCCTGCATCATTATATCTGGATTTCCTAAAATCATATAATGTTTCTATTATATAAGTGGGTTTTTATTGCTTACTGTCTGAATGTTTAAGTAGCTCCTTATGTCTATCTTCTTTTTTAATGGCATCATCTACAAAGCACAACACTAAGAATAAGCCTAAATTTATTCAAATATAAAATCGCTTTTAACAACTATAGAAGCAATTTTTAAAATCTTATCTGTAATGTAATAGTAAGCTAAATAAACAGCCAGATTCAAGCATTATTTATCAGACATTAATGTTTGTACTAATTTACTTATGCACCGTGTGGAAATCTAGAAAAATACGTGAAAGATACAGGAAAGACCAGGCAGCTGTAGATACCAGGCAGAGGACCTTCGAGAGGAAAAGAAGCCACTGCTGCAACAATGCTGTAAAGTAAATTATAAACTTGTTGTTCACATCCAATTATTGGTAGGGACAAATGGGTCGGTCCAAAATTTTGGAAGGGACATGTCCCTATGGAAACCTACGCCCATGCATTCAGTCTCAGTCTGACACAGAATTCCCAACAAAATAGATGGATCTCTGCGATTAAAATGTGACAAAAATGTGTTATATTTAAAGCTACAGTGTGTAACTTTTAGCGACATCTAGCGGTCAGACTGCAGACTGCAGCAACATGAACATCTCCCCCCCCACCGCTTCTCCCCTCCAACAGTACCGCGAGTGTTACGGGACAAAATGTCTTCCACGACGTCCGCATCACATACCTTCTCAAGTGATGAGGTTTGTTTACATAGATAATTTTACAGATAGTATTTCATTAGTCTGCGTAGGGTATAGA